GGGAATTCGGGAATTTGGGATTTGGGAATTTGGGAATTTGGGAGCACAGGGGTCCCGCTCAGGCTGGAGAAGGAACAAAACGGCCCCAACTCAAACACCGGGTCCAAATCCCCCAGTATTGATCTGGTATTGATCCATCATTTATCCATTATTGATCCGGTATTGATCCGGTATTGATCCAGCATTGATCCAGTCTCCACCCAGTATCGATCCAGTATTGATCTGTCCAGTATCGATCCAGTATTGAACCAGTATTGATCCAGCATCGATCCAGTATTGACCCAGTATCGATCCAGTATTGATCTGTCCAGTATTGATCCAGCATCGATCCAGTATTGACCCAGTATTGATCCAGTATTGATCTGTCCAGTATTGATCCAGTATCAATCCAGTATTGATCCAGTATCGACCCAGTATCGACCCAGTATCGATCCAGTATCGATCCAGTATTGATCCAGTCTCACCCAGTATCGATCCAGTACCGATCCAGCCCCTCCGGCCCAGCCCCCACGGCACAGGGGGCTCCCCCCCATTCCCAGGGTTTGGGGTCCCCTCCCCTCCCCCCGGATCTGTGGGGCAGAGCCCTGGGGGGCTCCGTGGGGCCGGGGGGGTCCCTGGGGGGGGTCCCTGTCCCCCCTCCCCTCCCCCAAGACAGCAGGCGGGAGTTGGGGGGCGCAGAAGCTTTATTGAAGGCTGGGGGAGGGGTGGGGGTGGGGAGCTGCCCCATAGCAGGGTCAGGGGGCTGCCCCATAGGGGGGTGCATAGCTGGAGTCGGGGGGCTGCCCCATAGCTGGAGTGGGTGAGGGGCTGCCCCATGGATTGTGCGTGTCTGGGGGGGGCTGCCCCATAGAGGGGTGGGGGCTGCCCCATAGAAAGGGTTGGGGGCTGCCCCATAGAAGGGTTGGGGGCTGCCCCATAGAAAAGTTGGGGGGCTGCCCCATAGAAAGGGTTGGGGCTGCCCCATAGAAGGGTGGGGGGCTGCCCTATAGAAGGGTTGGGGGCTGCCCCATAGAGGGGTTGGGGGCTGCCCTATAGAAGGGTTGGGGGCTGCCCCATAGAGGGGGTGGGGGGCTGCCCTATAGAAGGGTTGGGGGCTGCCCCATAGGCTGCTCCTATCTAGAGGGGGGCTGCCCCATAGGCTGTGCGTATCTAGCAATGGGGGGCAATGGGGGCTGCCCCATAGCAGAGTTAGGGGGCTGCCCCATAGACTGTGCAATGGGGGGCAATGGGGGCTGCCCCATAGCAGAGTTAGGGGGCTGCCCCATAGACTGTGCAGATCTAGCAATGGGGGGCTGCCCCATAGCGGAGTTAGGGGGCTGCCCCATAGGCTGTGCGTATCTAGCAATGGGGGGCTGCCCCATAGCGGAGTTAGGGGGCTGCCCCATAGGCTGTGCGGATCTAGCAATGGGGGGCTGCCCCATAGCGGAGTTAGGGGGCTGCCCTATGGGCTGTGTGGATCTAGCAATGGGGGGCTGCCCCATAGAGGGGCCAGGGGCTGCCCCATAGCTGGGTTGTGGGGCTACCCCACAGTGGGCTCGGGAGCTGCCCCATCTTGGGGTTGTGGGACTGCCCCATAGAGGAGCTGTGG